GTTAATTTAAAACAGTGCTCGATAGAGTAACCTAGAGCTTTCTAAATACAGTGTAACCCAGATATAAGAGAGTTGTCGGGACCGGAGAAAAAGTCTCTTATATCCGGGTTTGGTCTATTTTATATACATTAACACAGGCTCTAATTTGGGAACGGAGAAAATCTCTCTTAAATCCGGGTTTCTCTTATATCCGGGTCTCTTATATCCGGGTTACACTGTATAGGTAACTATACTCGTCTCGATCCGCTTAGGTGAAACCTGGGTAGGTTTGTCTGGCTCACTAGGTTTGACTATATATATATATATATATATATATATATATATATATCAAATGAATACACTATAGACACGATCAGAATGTGCTGACCATAAAATATTCCAATAACTCTAGTTATGTGCATAAAACAATTCATAGATTCAGTTAAATGCAAAAAATAAAATCATTCTTGATAATGGCTAAATGTATAGTCAAATATATATATATATATATATATATATATATATAAAGAAAAACGAAAAGAAAAAATACAGAAAATATAAAGAAAAATAATAAATATTAAGAAAAAGTGGATAAAATAAGAATGAAGACCCAAAATCAACATCTGAAGGAAAAATCAGGAGCATATGAAGGAAAACCGAAAATAAAAAATGTCGGTTTCTAGCTTACAACACGTTTATATCTTTTTTTATTTTCTGACGCAACACAGTCTTTTCTCTAAAAGCCAATCGTTGTTGGAAAAATAAAAATATTGATATCCACATCTTTATTGTTTTATTCACAACGTTTCGACCATTGTACGCACCGACATTCTTCAGGTGATATACGTTGGAATTTCGAACCGTACCCTTTATTTAGGGGTAGATTGTTCTCGTTCCACGTGCCTTGCCTTTTTTGGATATCTCAGTTTCAGTTATTTCCCTTTAGCAACTCAGCTTTCCACATTTTTTCACATCTAGCTGTGGCCAGGTATTGAATTCAGAACTCTTAGGGTCAAGTGATTTGATTACTTCAACCAAAGCTTTTATCCACTGAGCCATGGGTACGTCAGGAATATGGCAATAAAGATGAGGACAACAGTCTGAACAATGTAAATAGTGTAAATAATGACAACTCCTCATCCCAGAAATTTAAACAGAGAAAAGATAAGGAGGTGTGGCGAGCTATGATATCCCATATGAAAGAATATGACTTAAAAAAAAAGACCTGACTTGATTTTACAAACTGTTGACAACAGTTTGAGTTCGTCGTTAATGCTACATTTCTGATAAACCAAATTTCACCAAAAATAATACAGGAAAATAATACACTACTCCCACAATCAAAATTGATCTTATTACTATATGTTTAAAAATAAATTTGAAACATCTGAACAAGACCTCAGATGGAATTTGAACCTGGCATGCTAATCTTACTCAACACTGCACAGATGTTATTGTAGAATATACAGTTGGATAAAATGAAAAATGATTTATAATGAATGTATCTTCTAGTTGTCAGTATGTAAATACTAGTTATTGTGACATCGCTTTAACCTTATGCATGAGAGGGCGTTGGCAATATTTGCTTCAATTTAATATTTGCTTCAATTTAATATTTGCAACTATTTAATCTTTGAATTTTGGCCGTTTATCTTTGAGACTAAGAATTTAGTGTGTCCTGGTATAGGTAAATATCAGTCGTTTAAATCACAGACTATATGCATTGCATTTTTTCAGGATAGTTAAATATTGGTCATTTATATTTGAGTTTATTAGTATTTGCTCCGTTCGGGGTTACGGGCATATATTTCGTTTGTATTTGAGATTATAAGAGTTGACGTTTTTTCAGGAAAGGTAAATAAGAATTTGCTTTGTTTGGGCATAAGTAAATATTGGTAATTTATATTTAAATATATAATTTTTTAAAAGCATTTCATCCCAGGCAAAGTAATGAAGCCAATCAAACGGAAGGAGTTACTGAGTGTGAGAGAATTCTTCTTTTATGTGCCGTGTCCCTTCAGGACGTAGGTGATCATGGCCCTCCACTTCCTCCTATCCCTTGTAGCACTCAATAAGTTTTGTCCCTTTGATATTTCCCCCCAGGCCACGTTTTGTCATCCATCAGCTCAAACCCGCTAAGTATGTCATTCATTGCTTTCCCTTGTCTTTCTTTCCCTCTATTCAACCTGTGAGTATCAGATTCTCCAAGCCCTCCTTTCTCATTACGTATCCCAGAAATTTCAGCTGCCTCTTTCTGGTGTTAAATATAAGCTTCCTCTTTGTTTGCATCTTCTCCAAAACCTCATCGTTGCTCACACACTCGGTCCCTGATATCCTCAGCATCCTTCTGTACCCTCCAGTCTCGTCTTCATCTTCGAGGAGACATGTCCAACATTCTCTGTGGTAAAGGAGGACAGGTGTCACGTAGCAGTTCAGTACTCTTTTCTTTGTTTACGAAAAAAGCGCTATTAAGGATGGAGAACAATAACAGATACAAGATAGCGATTGACATTGCTTTTAAAATTTTGAATCTTTTTCAAATTTTAATGGCTCAAAAGAAGCCGGAAGAGAGTTCCACAAGCGAGAAGTGCGATAAAAGAAGCGATTTTATAAGCATATAAAGTATTTGATCGTTCACATTTCAGCTTATACGCATTTTTGTTACTGACTATATGACTCTAAAGTTAGGCAAAATGTGGTCATAAAATAAACACCTCCGATCTCTCTCTCTCTCTCTCTCGATTGTAAGCATCCATAATAATAAAATAAACGTTTTTCATCATAAAACAGTCAATGTGTTATTGTTATCCATCCTTAATAGCGCTTTTTTTTCCGTAAACAAAGAAAAGAGTACTGAACTGCTACTTGACACCTGTCCTCCTTTACCACAGAGAATGTTGGACGGTCTCCTCGAAGATGAAGACGAGACTGGAGGGTACAGAAGGATGCTGAGGATATCAGGGACCGAGTGTGTGAGCAACGATGAGGTTTTGGAGAGGATTCCTGAGCTTCTACTTAGAGTTGGTACTATTCATTCCATTTCGAGACGATGGAACATATTCTTTACCCAGACAAACTAACTGTGGATCCGAATTCTCTGAATCCTGAAGGAGAGTACAATCATTGGCGAAATCTTTTAAGTTACTACTAAAATATAATATCTACCGAGGTATTTACAACCTAAACTAAATGACGATGCACTCCTTATTACTGGAAAATGCTCAGGAAAAACGATGGCCTGTTTACTGTTTTTGTTTTTAAATGACATCAAATCAGTTTACAAGCATTAAAATCTATATTTGATGATTTTTTTTTTAATTTTAGTAGAAAAAATTGTTAATGATTTTTAACACGTAACGAGTTTACTGTTCACTGCCTTTAATCCTAAACCTCTAATCTTAATATATTTCACACATCCAACAGTTGGTAAATATCATACCGTAGTACAAACTGAATAATAGATATGATACTACAGTAGAAAATGGACGGTAGATATCAGTTTATCTGTTTAAATAAAAGGCTGCCTGCTCAAATATATAACGTCTATAGTAATCAGAAATAATGTCGGATTATAATAAAATAAAATAATAAATTAATTAGTGTAATTACAGTTGTAATAAAATAAGCACATTCCATCTCCTCTCTTGCTTGTAAACATCCATCACAATAAAATAAACGTTTTTGCAGCACTAAAGATGAATATGTCAAATAAAGCTTCATAAACTTCTATTTAGAGTTGATACTATATTACACATGACATAGGGGCACCTTGAGGTGGTGTAATGGTGAGCAAGCTTGTCTCGATAGAAGAATTACGGCTGAGTAGTGAGTTCGATCTTCACTGGGTGCCCCATACATTCGGCCTTGTACCATATCTGAACTGCGCTTGAGGTGGTGTAATGATTAGCGAGCTTGTCTTGCTAGAACAATTACGACTGAGTAGTGAGTTCGATTCTCACTGGGCGCCCAATACTTTCGGCCTTGTTAGCAAGCTTGTCTCACTAGAACAATTACGAATAAGTAGCGAGTTCGATCCTCGCTGGGTGAATTTAAACTTTCGGCATTTAGTTATTTTCCAAGCGCAGTTATGGCACAACATAGCTGCGCTAGGAAAATAACTAAATGGGCACCTTGAGGTAGGATAATCGCTAGCAAGCTAGAACAATTATGAGTGAGTTCGATCTTCACTGGGTGCCCCGTACTTTCGGCCTTGTGCCATATCTGAGCTGCGCTTGGAAATTCACTATTTTACACATATGGTGTGGGTAATATTTATTTTCAACTTAACAGATTTACATCAACTTATCTTTAGAGAGAAGTGAGAGCTCCTAATTTTGTCAAACTTTAAATCCTACTTCGTATTTGAAAGAATTCTTTGAGAAGCACCACAATTCGATTCTTTTGCTGGATTGAAAAAGACTCGTCGTGTTTAACTATTACGATGACATGGCGCTCCTCTGAAAACTTTAGCAAAACCTGTTCGTTTTAATAAACTCAGAATTTCTTTCTTAATGAATAAATATACACCAGGCAGATCGATAACAGGTATTTATTGATTGCAGATTATTAAAGAGAATCTAACATCGGTATCTGAAAGAGTCATCTGACGAAGGTAACAGCGGAAATTATCGAAAACAGCCGAAGGGTTGAGCCAGTCACTGCTCAATATTCGGCAAATTTCATTTCGCTTTAGTGAATTTTGGATTGCTTATTGAGATGGATCAGCCGATAGTGATGAAAGAAATTTTAATAAAGGTGTCTTCTTAATGACCAACGTTCATATCCGCTGGAGACATATATGAAACATCGGTATGTAATAGTAACATTGATTTTAGTAACCTGTGCAGATAAATATGTATAATTTGTCTTGTTGTATACGATACATATCCTGCGCCGAGGGCCAGTGGGTGTCATATGAGTAAAACGCGGAGTCTAATCAATCTCTTTCACGGTGAAGGAGGGGCAAAGGACATGCATTGCCCTGTTGACTTAAATAGACGCTAAATTAGAATGAATTCTGT